AAATATTTATAAAAATAAAAATATATATTAGATAAATATATTATATTTAGGAAATAAATTTTTAATTTAAAAATTTAAAATTGAAACTAAATAATCAAATTTTAAAATTTTAAATATTTTTGGTTTTAAAAAATACGTAAATAAAATATTAATGCCAAATATATATAATATGCAAAAATTTCAAAATATATAAAAAAATTTGTTTTCAAAAATATAAATGATAAAAAAAATGAAACTTTAATTAAATGAAATTTCATTTAAAATTTCAATAAATTATTTGAGATAGAATTTGGTTTTTTTTTTATTTTTTTATTTTAAAATTTATGATCTGAATATAAAAAAAATTTTAATTTTTCTTTCATATATAATTTTTTTATTAAAATATTTTCATAATTTTTAAATTTTAAAAAAAAATATATAAAAAAATATAAAAATAAATATAAATATATTTATGTTATATAAAATATATATAATTTTGTAATAAAATTTTTTAAATCAGTTTTATATATAAATCAAAATTTTAATTTTAAATCAATGAAAAAATAGAAAATTTTTTTTATAAATTTAAAATAGAAAAATGTGTTATTTTATATATTTATAAAAATTTTTAATATATATATATATTTAATTTTATATATAATTTTAAATAATATATATATTTTATTTATGGATAAATTTTTATATATCGAATGAAAAAAACCCCAAAAATTGAGAATATTTTTGGTTTCAAATGAATTTCAGATTTTCAATTTAAATTATAATATTTACGTCAATATTTAATAAAATTGAATAAAATAAATAAATAAATATTTATAAATAAATTAAAAAAATGAATTATATATTTATTTAGTATGAATTTAAAAAATATAAATAACAAAACAAAATTTTATTTATATAAATATATATATTTTAAAAAATCCACAGATGTATTTTAAAGACGATTAAATTTAAATTGAATAAAGATATTTTATATATGAAAAATATATATATATATATGAATATATATATATATATATATATATATTTTTAATATATATATATATTATATATAAATCATTTTTAAATGAGTTAAAATGATTGGAATCTTTTAATAAATGAATTTTTATTTTTCTCAGAAAATTTTTAGTTATTTAAAAAAAAACTTAAAAATTCAAACAATTTTAAAAAATTTTGATAAATGTCATTTTAAACTTAAAATTTTCAAATCAAATCAGAATTGCAAATTTTTTTATTTACATTTAAAATTTATATATACACATATATATATATTACATATTATATATATATAAATATATAAATTTATTTATTATATAAAAATTTTTAACAAAATTTAGTTAAAATTTTTTTTAAGCTTATTTCCATTTTTTTTTTATTTAAAGAATAAAATTATAAATTTAAATAAATCAAAAAAGAAAATATAATAATTTCATTATATATAAAAATGATTATATACAATATAAATATATTTATAAATTTTCAATCATGGATGGTAATGTTATTTCTTTTTAAAATTTAATATTAAATTTTATTTTATCATTAAATACTTTTTTTAAATAAATATTTTTTCAAAAATTTATCAACCTTTTAAAAAAAAAACATTGAAAAATTAATTATGCATTATAATAAAATTGAATTTATTATTTCATTTATAAAAATTTAAAATTATTAAATTTATTAAAGAAATTTTTTCATTTTGAAATATGGAATTTAATATATTTTTAAAAATTTTTATTTAATGAATTTTTTTGAAAGATATTTTATCAAAAAATAAATGGATTTTTTATTTATTAATTTTATATAAATATATAATTAACATTAATATAAAAAATTATTTATGATATTTCAATATTAATATGAATTTAATTAATAACATTAAATTATATTTTTTTGAATTAATTTTTATAGAAAAATTAAAAATGAAAAAATTGTAAAATTTATTTATTTATAAATTAAAACCATTTGTAAAAAAAATTTTTACAAATTTATCATGAAAAAATATAAAAAAAAAATTTTTAAAATATTAAAAAAAATAAAAATAAAAAAACGAAAAAAAGACCTAAAAATGTTGAATTTTATTTGAAAAACAATAATATTTTATGGAAAAAAAAAAAATTTAAAAAAATAAAAAAATTAAAATCTTTAATAAATATTTTTGTATAATTTTAATGTAATGAGGGATATATATATTTATAAAATTTTCAAAAATGCCTTTAAAAAATATATATAGAGAAAATAAATTAAAAAAATTAAATATATTTATATTTATTGTTTTCAATTTAAAATTTTTAAATTTTTTTCAATAAAAAGAAATTCTAAATTTTTTTGGAAGAAATCAAATAAATTATATGTAATATTTTTCATTAAATAAATATATTTAAAAAATTTTTTTTTGATTTCATTTATTTTTTATATATTATAATATTTTATAAAGATAAAAGAAAAAATTTAAGAATAATATTTGAATTTAAAATATTTATATATAAATTTAAAAAAATAATTTAAAAATAAATTCTATATAAAAAAAAAAGATAAAAAAAAAATATGATAAAAATTTTCAAATAAATTTTTTTAAAATAAATATAAAAAAATATTTTAAAAAAAAATTTTTAAATATGTGAATAAATAAAAATAATTCAAAAAATACTTTTTTCTTTTTGAAAATATGATTTTTGAAATTTGTTAAATAAAATAACATTAATAAAAAAAGAAAAAATTTGAAAAAAAAAAATAAAAAAATTATAAATTTCAAATTGATTTTTAAACAAAAGAAAAAATTATTTTATATATGGATTAAAACATTTTATTATAAAAATATTGATGAAATTTATATGAATATTTATAATATATAAAGAAATAAAAAAAATATATATATATAAAAAATAAATTAATATGATGATATTGAAAAAAAAAAAACTCTATTTAAAAAATTAAAAATAAAAAAATTAAAAGTTAACAAATAAATGAAATAAAATGATGAAAGGAAAAAAATAAAATAAAAAAAGAATGAAAATTTTTAAAAAAAAAATTTTTGAAAATTATAAATAAATTTTAATCATGAAACAAATTGACGTTTTAAAATAATTTAAATGAAAAAAAAGAAATTTTGTAAATTAAAGATAAAAAATAAATATAAATTTTAGAAAAAAAAAAAATAAAAAAAAAAGGAAAAAAAAAGAATGGAAAATGAAAAAAAGAAAAAGAATTTTTTGAAAATGAATATACAATAAAAAAATAAAGAAAAAAAGAAAAAAAAAAAATTTAAAATGAAAAAGTTTTATAAAAAAATTTTTAAAAATAAAAAAATGAAAAAAAGAACAAAATAAAAAAAAATAAAAAAAAAATATTTCAGCGAAATAAAAAGAATTAAAAAAAAAAATGAAAAATTTGAAAGAAAAAAAAGAATAAAAAAAAATAAAAGATATTTTTAAAAATGAAAAAAAGTTTAAAAAAAAATGATAAAAAAAAATAAAAAAATAATGAAATTTTTAGTGAAAAAAAAAAATATTTAAAAATAAAGATAATAAAAAAGAAAGAAAATAAAAAAAAATTTTAAAAAAATAAAAAAAAATAAAAAAAAAAACATCTTAACAAAAAAAAAAAAATTTTGACAAAAAAAGAAAATGAAAATAAAAAATTGAAAAAAAAATTGTAAAAAAAAGTTTTATTTTAAAGATCAATAAAAGAATCGGAAAGAGAAACATTTTAATTTTGAAAAAAGAAAGAAAAATATAAAAAAAATGGAAATAAATAAATGAAATATTTTTTATTTTCACAATGGAAATGAATATATCAGAAATTTGAAAATTTATGAAAAAAAAAAAAAACCAAATAAAGAAATTTGAAAAATTATAAATTAAAAAAAATATATTTAAAAAATCAAAGAAAAAAATAAGAAAAGAAAAAAAGAAATTTAAACAAAGGAAAATTTAAAAAAAAGAAAAAAAAAAAAAAAAAAAAAAAAAAAAAAAAAAAAAAAAAATTTTAAAAATAAAAACTAGGAAAATGAAAAAATACTAAAAAGAAAAAAGAATTTGAAAAAAGAAAAACGAAAAAAACATTGGGAAAGAAAGAAAAGAATGAAAATGAAAAAAAGAAAAAGAAATTTATGGAAAAAAAAATTAAAAAGAAAAAAAAGAAAAAAGAAATAGAAAAAAATTTTGAGTTAAAAGAATAAAAAAAAAAGAAAAATGGGAAAGAAAAAAAGAAAGAAAGATATTAGAATCTTTTTAATTCTTGAGGAAAAAGAAAAAAAAAAAATGGAAAGATGAAAAAAAAAAAAAAAAAAAAAAAAAGAAAGAAAAAAAAGAAAAGAAAGAAGAAAAGAAAGATTGAATAAAAGAAAGAAAAATATAAAAAAGAAAAGATAAAGAAAATTAATTAAGAAAAAAAAAAAAAGAAGAAAAAAAATTTTAAAAAAATAAAGAAAAAAAACAGAAGCTAAAGAAAAAAAGAAAAATGAAATAACAAAAGATTTGTAAAAAAAAGATAAGAAAATTGAAAGTGATATAAAGAAATAAAAAAAAAAAGAAAAAAAAAATAAAAATAGGAAAAAAGAAAGAAAAAAGAAAAAAAGAAAGATAAAGATTTATTTTAAAGAAAGAAAAAAAAAAATTGGATGAAAGAAAGAAAGAAAGAAAAGAAATATTAGAAATTTTTGATTTGAAAAAAGTTTAAAACTAAAAAGGGAAATTTAAAAAAAAAGAAAAGAAAAAAAAAAGAAAGAAAAAAAGAAAAGAAAGAAAATTTAAAAAGATAAAAAAGAAATAAAAAGAAAGAAAGTTTCCAAAGAAAAAGAAAGAAATAAAGATAAATGAAAGAAAAAGGAAGATAACAAAGAAAGAAAAAAAAAAAGAAAAGAAAAGAAATAAAAGATAAAAGAAACAAAAAGAAAGAAAAAAAGAAATAAAGAAAAAACAAAGAAAGAAAGAAAGAAAGAATGAAAAAATGAAATAATGGATATATAACAGATAATTTAATTAAAAAGAAATATTAAGGAGATACTAACAGAAAAAAAAGAAAATTAAGGGAAAGAAAGAAAGAAAGAAAGAAAGAAAGAAAGAAAGAAAGAAAAAAAATATTAAGTCGCTACTAACAGATAAAAGAAAGAAAAGAAATATTAAGAAACTAACAGATAAAAAAGAAAGAAAGAAGGAAAACAAAAGAAAAGAAAGAAAGAAAGAAAGAAACAAAAAAAAAGAAAGAAATATTAAGGAGACTTTTAACAGATACTTAAGAAAGGCGTAAAAGAAAGAAAGAAAAAAGAAAGAAAGAAAGAAAGAAATATTAAGGAGATACTAACAGATTATAAGAAAGAAAGAAAGAAAGAAAAGAAAGAAAGAAAAAATATTAAGGAGATACTACCAGATATAAGAAAGAAAGAAAGAAAGAAAAGAAAGAAAGAAAGAAAGAAATATTAAGGAGATACTAACAGATAAGAAAGAAAGAAAGAAAAAAAAGAAAGAAAGAAGAAAAAGAAAGAAAAAAAAGAAAGAAATATTAAGGAGATACTAACAGATATAAGAAAGAAAAAAAAAGAAAGAAAGAAAGAAAGAAAGAAAAAGAAAAGAAAGAAAAAAGAAATATTAAGGAGATACTAACAGATATAAGAAAAGAAAGAAAGAAAGAAAGAAAAAGAGAGAGAGAGAGAGAGAAAGAAAGAAACTGAGAATAAAAAAGAATCTTAATAAATTTTGTCTTTCTGTTATTTCTCATAAACATTTTCCGGCATCCATTTCCTAAGACAGCTTCAGTAAATATGTTATGAGTTGTTTTCTTCTGTCTTGCCTTCAATCCGATGGGGAGTAATGGACTTTCACAGGACAGGGTCGGGACCTAGTTAACTTATGGGCGGTAGAAAGCCTTTAGTTCTTGTTCCTACCTCGTAAAAGATAATGGCAATTGATTATAAATTATTCCGTGGGCTGTCCCAACGTACGGCACAAGGCATGTAAATAAGTGAATTTAAATTGAAGATAAAGGTTTGTTCACTATTTACATTATTCGGACTATTGCCCTCATCTGTGTTGCCATATTTATCAGAACGTTTCGGCCGTTGTACGCTCCGGCCTTCTCAGGTGGTTGGAATGCCGAACTGAACGATTTAGTTTATGAGGACAATAGTCCGAATAATTTAAACAGTGTACATAATAACTCATCTCAGAAATATAAAGAGATACTGAAAGATTTGTTCATTAATAAATAACAATTTATTTCACATATACACATTTTAAAAAGGAAAAAATAACATACACACATTCAGGTGTGTTTAATAAAAAAAACCATTAAAAGGGAAATGCTATGTACTCAGATTTATGTGTATTTAAATAAGCCCCTGAAAATGGAATGGTATAAAGTCACACTTTGAGGCGTGTTTAATAAAATCCTTTCTTGTTTATATTTTTAAAATTTTTATCAGTGTTATAATAGTAAAAAAAGGCTGACTGATGTTACGTAGAGAGACTAATTCAAATTCTAATCTTAGTAGAAATAATATCATGAAAAATTACGGATCACTACTAGAACCAAACAATTTATTATAAATTTTTAATTTTATTTTGGATTTAGATTCGAAAACACAAAGAAGACTGAGATTTAAAATATTACATAATTTTTATTTCATAATTAAAATCAGAACAAAACTTAAAATAAAGTTTTAAACTCATTAATCTATAATTTAAAATCAAAAAACGATCAATCCATCACATATTTAATCTTATTGCATTTTAAACATAAAATGAAAGCAAAACGGAACAATATGAAAAACATTTTTCTTTAGTGCTTTTCCTGAAGTTATCTAAAACTTTATCTTAATTCATCACAATAAACTGCTGTTGACAACAAAATTAATTCCGACAATCTATCTTTAAATATTGTAGAAAAAAAAAGGTTAGATTATATGTGCATGAGCCGACAAAAGGATAATGATGTATGATTTAGTTATTTCCAGGATCAGAAATTTGTCGAACGTTGTAGAGAGGTTTAGATAAATACAGCGCGTGATCTGGCCAGTTGAAACTTAATCCATTAAGACTCCACCCCAAGTGCTTTACCGTAGAAACGTTTGATTAATACCAGATTTCATACAAAGCTATAATTAATAGCGGATATTTTTTTTACCTTTACAAACCGATAAAGGATAGCGGAGTTTTAAAACCTACAATTAATACCGTTTTAGTTTTTAAAGAAACTTTTACTTGGATATGCAACTAGGGAGGAGGCACGGTGGAGTAATGGATAGCGGCTTGGATTGAGGAATCGGAGAGCAGAGTTCGAATTCCAGTCGAATCCATTACATTCACTTACTCGCTAATACCCTTGGGAAAGGTGTGAATCCTCTTCTTCTCCCTCCAGCTATGGGTAAATAGCAAGACAGGCTGGGTTCTATAGCCATGGATGGCAACTGGTCTAGAAGAAGGACAACTCTGAATTCAAAACCTGCGGAGGGTGAATGGAGTCTCTCTGAGCCTTGGTTGGCAATCCATTTGGTGTCATGATAAAAACACCCTTGATAGCTCTAGCGAAGTATCAAGAATTCAGCTATTTGACAAGATTACGAACTACACCAATCAATGACAGATAAGGAATACTGGAAAAGTGTAGTGAGTTCAATCTCGGCTGAGGCCGCAAGAAGATGATGACTAGTGCATATTTTACTTGAATATGTAGTTAATGCATATTTTAGTACACTAATTTTCGTACAAATAACCAGGGGAAACTTATGAATTCAACATTTTTTTTTCTTTTCAGCTATAGGTTAAATGATATAGAAGGCTGGGAACTAAAGCCGCTTTTGGCTAGCAGTTTCCTAGAAGGGCAGCTCTGATTTCAAAAACGATCCACCTGAAGCTGTACTAAGATGTTTAGACATATATTGCAGATAGTGTATGTATATACGAAAAAGAAATTAGACTAGATGCAACATGTCAAACACGGAATACAGCCCATCAACAGAAAGTACAAACTTTATTTTAAGCCTTCGCTGACTTGAGGTTGTATCGAAACGACAGTCTATGGAAATAAATCCAGAAGGAAAAAACATGGTGGTGCCGTGAAGGCAGTTGGCTCTCAAAACTGAGAAAAGTCCAGTAACACCTGCAGCCAAGCAGATTCCAAATGCAATTCCGTGCTGCTTTGAATCTTGGTACAGCTGCGATAAATTTTGACCAGACGGAGGCGGGACTACAGTTATATCGCGGGATATACGAATGTCTACCTACCTGTCTATATGAAAAAAAATGAAAACTGTAGATTTCAAATATTGGCCCAACTGGAGTGCGATTGTCCAGTTTGTTGTTGAAACCAAATGGTATTACTTCTTGTTAAGAATAATTCATACTGTTTCTTATTCAGAGACCAAGAGTTAAGGTGATATTTTATTAAGTAACCAATTGTTAATACGTTTTTTTTTTTATTCAGAGTCCTATAATTAATATTTTCTTATTCCGACACCTATAATTAATATTGTTTCTGATTCAGACACCTATAATTAATAGTTTCTTAATCAGAGACCATAAGTTAATAGTGTTTCTTATACAGAGACCTACAGTTAATACTGTCTTTTATTTCAGAGACCTATAATTAATAGTTTCTTATTCAGAGACCAATAATTAATACTGTTTCTTATTCAGTGACCTATAATTAATACTGTTTCTGATTCAGAGACCTAAAGTTAATACAGTTTCTCATTTCAGAGACCAACTGCCAATACTGTTTCTTTATTCAGAGGCCTATGTTTAATAGTGTTTCTTATTCAGGGACCTTAGTTAATTTTGTTTCTTTTTTCAGAGAGCTATTATTAATACTGTTTTCTTGTTCAGAGACTTATAGTTAACCAGTCAGCTTAGACGATCATGTATCTTTCGATAATGACTGACGAGGCAGATTTTTTTTCTCACAGTAGGTTGCCATTTCTTTCTGTGGTAGACCAGTTGTCATCCTAAGCCGTAACAGGTGTTTCCTGCTATTTACCCATAGCTTGGAGGGAAAAAACAATTCATTCCCAAGGTGTGAATATTACCATTTAATTGAAGTTATAATAGATTCAACTCCAATTTGAACTCGGCTCTCTGATTCCTCAATCCGAGCCGCTATCCATTACTCCACCGTTTTGTTTCTTAGCCACCGGTATATTTTTATACCGTTTCTTATTTTGGTTTTCATTATTAAAACTAGAATTTAAAACGATAATTTATGAGGTGGTAGCACCTGCTAAGATCTCAGGTAGGAAAATAGTGAAAAAAAACAAAAACACTATTAAAGCATGAAAATACCTATTTTAAATAAAATGACCAACAATACAATTTATCTGTCGTTGAAGGCATACAATTGCGTCCAGAATATATTTAGCTGGAGCAATAATATTGTCCTCAAAATATTTAGGTTTCGGCATTAATTTAGCCGTAGAGGTTGATATGCCACTAAACAAAATCAACCATCGAAGTAAAAGAAAGCGAATCATTACTTTCAAATAAATCTGGGGATGTTTATTTTTGTTTTTAATATATGATTTGCCCTTTATAACGTTCATGTAATGAAACAGGGTTGAAAAAAATCTGATTCATTTTCCTTGCTTTCCTGTAGTGTTGGATGAGGTACTACTATAGGAGATGGTACTTCAGTGCCAAGATATTCCAAGTCAAAGCCGCTCCCCGTATGGAAACAAAGCATTAGAACTGGAATTGTTACTATACTTTGAATAAAAATCATAAGGCCGTAGAACATGCGTTCTGTATTTACTAATCTATCTTTCCTTAGGTGTTTATAAATTATCCACTGTTCAATTACTAACGTTAAAAACGAACTACTTTAAATTACAAAATTGTACATGGATTAGACGAAAATCTACGGACTGTCAAGTTTACACAAAAAAATTATTGTTCTTTGAGAACTTTTGCAGTAAATATAATTTTAATTGTAAATATGTAACATTCATTTTTTTAATCTGGCTCCCGCATACACGAATATACAGGCCAAGGACGAAAATTTCCTGGAACACGTGACCACTGTTATGCTGGCGCAAAAATTCCACCGACCCTCCTTATTTTAGTGAAATAAGGGAGGTGCTGCCCACTGGGTTAGAATCTTCGGGACCAAGAATTCCTCACGGATTTTCAGTGAAGTACCTAATAATAGAGAGTTTACGGTGAGATGAAGAACAAATACACCACGTGTTATTCATCACCCCTCCAACACAGTGATAGGATATGGCACAAGGCTGGTTTAAAGTGGGGATCCCAAGCGCGAGCACATGGACTAAGTTTAAAAGTTGCCCAATCCCCGAAACGAGAACGCGAGAGGGTCGATATTACATCGACGTCACTCTTTGGTGCAATGAGGGAGGTGTTGCCGCAGAATTGGAATTCCTGTAACCAGTCGTCTCTCACTTATTTTCTGTCCGATGACGAATTACAGTTGAGAAATAAAATTCGTATATATAATATGACGCATATATCTTCAAAAATGCTTTGTTCATTTTTAGAAATTCATTTTAAACTTTAAAAATTATAATTTAATAGGAGTTAGGGGTACAAAAAATAAGTTAAGAAAAATATCTGTTGATACGTTGCTCTTAGTAGGACGAGAAATAAGCAGAATCTGAAATTACACGTTGAATCTACGGACTGTCAAGTATTACTTACACCTCCCAAAGTTTAAACAAAAAA